AGCAACAGCTGTAGCAGCAAAAGATGCAGCAACAGCTTTCAACAGAAGCTGCAACAGCAGCAGCAGCAGCTGCTGCAGCAACAGCTTTTAACAGAAGCAGCAGCAGCAGCAACAGCAGCAGCAGCAGCAGCAGCAGCAACAGCAGCAGCAGCAACAGCTGCAGCAAAGTGCGAGGGCTCTGACTTCATCTTAATTTTGGACAGGTTGAGCATCATGCAGCTGCAGCAGCAGCTGCTGCTGCTGCTGCAGCATGCTGCTTCCTTTCAGGGCATCCGCTGCTGCCTCTATGGGCGTCGCCGCGTGCAGACAGCAGCAGCAGCAGCAGCAGCAGCAGCAGCAGCAGCAGCAGCACGGATTTTGCTTTGGTTGCTTTGGCGATTTGCAGGCAGGCCAAGGACGTTTAAAGTGTTTGTAACAGCAGCAAGAGCTGCTGCTGCTGCTGCTGTTGCTGCTGCTGCTGCTGCTGCTGCTGCTGCGGAGTATACGCGGCCTGTTGCTGCAGTGCTGCTGCTCTAATGCAGCGCAGCAGACAGTTGAGGTGTATGTACACCTCAATACGATGACGACGGTTTCTTTTTATTTAACGAAAGGTCTTTCGTTTGTTTTTACATTTAACTTATTATTATTAATTTAATTATTGTTTTCTTCTTTTTATTTATTTTTATTTTTATCTGCTCTCTGTCTCCTCTCTAGCAGCTGCAGCAGTAGCAGCAGCAGCATGAGTAGCAGCAGCAGCAGGAGTAGCAGCAGCAGCCGGAGCAGCAGCAGCAGCAGGGGTAGCAGCAACAGCAGCAGTAGCAGCAGGAGTATAAGCAGCAGCAGCAGCATCAGCAGCAGGAGCGAGAACAGCAGCATCAGCAGCAGCAGCTATCTATCAGAGCCTCGCTGCAGGCCTTCATCTGTATTTAATTTGTCTCTATTTATTTATTTATTTTTTTTATTTATCTCTTTATATTTACATGTGTTGGGGTGTACAGAGACAGACAGGTTTTTATTATATAAATTTGTTTTTTATTTTTTTTTGTTTTTTTTGTTTGTATATAAACAACCCGCCTTTGGGGCTTTGTCTAGCGCATGCATTTCTTCTCTACGCAGCAAAGAGACAACAAATACACAGCAGCAGAGATGCTGCCTCTGCTGCTGCTGCTGCTGCTGCTGCTGCTGCTGCTGCTGATCGCTGCTGCTGCTGTTGCTGCTGCAGTTAGATCCTGCTGCTGTTGTTGTTGTCGCTGCTGCTACTAGTGGTTGCTGCTGCTGTTGCTGCTGCTGTTGCTGCTGCTGTTTGATCTTCTTGCTGTTGTTGCTGCTGCTGTTGTTTCTGCTGCTGGCGCCTGCTGTTGTCGTTGCTGCTGCTGCTGCTCGTTCCTGCTGCTGCTGCTGCTGCTGCTGCTGCTGCTGCTGCTTCATGGTGAGAGGATACAGCGGCAGCAAGGGCCCCGCATGCAGAAGGGGAGGTGTTGAGGCCCTGCAGAGAAGCAGCAGCAGCAGAGACAAAACAGCAGCAGCTTATGGTGTATGCTGCTGCTGCCACTGCTGCTGCTTCTGCTGCTGCTGCTGCTGCTGCTGCTGCTACTGGTGCAG